CTATTCTTACCTGAGTCTGCTCTACCGATACCTCTTTTCAACGTGAGATGGCGTAGCGTATTCCCAATAAGCGCATTCGGCTCCCTCGATGCTAGAAATTCAACGATCGTTCGATGGATTCGATTAAAAAGAAAAATCCCGAAATAATGGCTCGATTATTCGACTCCAAGAAGAAACAGAGGCGAAACGATAGGTTCACGAGATGGTTTCGCACACGCGAGCCACACATTGCGAAATGCATTATGCAATAAATGTAATAAGCGTCCAATAGTAATGGTTCGAGAGAAGTTAAACAATTTATGTAACGAGCTTTCTATAACCAGCGGAGGTGTATCGGGATCTGGCGTGAGATCGATCAATTATTCTCGCATAAATTCGCTCTCGTAATCGGTGAAAACGATCGTTCGTCAAAATCATTACTAAGATAGGAATTAACCCCTCGACTGGTAGTATTGTTAAATCGCGATAATTTAGAATAGAAGATATAAGAATCAGAGGATTCTTCTCTGATAATTTTGCGATTTTATTTTATCGGGTGTTTTATAAAAATTGAAAATTATTAAAATAAGATTGATAATTTATTAAATCGAATAATAATAATAATAATAATAAATTAGAAATATAATGCACTAATCTTGAGGGAAATACACAAATTTTCACTTTATATTTAGTATTTTCTTAAAATTTATTATTTTAATGTTTTTCTCAAAGTTATCGAACAATATTAAATATTAAATCTTTGTTATCACATTGAATGATTGCGAGTAGGAAATGATTTGTGATAGGAAAAATTCACAACAATTGGAAGGAATTGCTCGATGAAGATCGAAAATATAATCAGGAATATAAAGTGATGCGACACGAGTTATTTAAAAACAATGTAGTTTATTTGAATCGCACAAGACATACACCGTATCTGCTATGTTTATAATTACGGACATCCCCGTGGGAAAGCTGGTCAAAGGATTGTATCGCGATCTTTGGCCAGACTTTGCCCGAAGACGCCTTGCTTTCTCGTATTGCCTTAATGTCGATCCTTCGGTTTTTTTTTTTTCCTTTTTTTTTCCGTATTTCATTATTTTCTTTAAAGTGTTCCAAAGTGTTTTGCCAGGTCGAAAACCCAGTCTTACCGTATCTAGAAACCGAGCTTCGGATTATTTTTACCCTGGATCAGAATATTTCATACTAAAAACCCAATTTCCCTGCTACCGACACTTTTTATTTTCAACCCCTTACTGCGCTTTCGCGTTCATCTTGCGTGTGACTTTTCCATCCCTTACTATATTATAGGAAATACCTCTTATTTTTTTTTCTTCTTTATTTACCTTTATTTTATTTAACTGTCTAGATACTTCAATTCGCTATATTTCCGACGTTCTGTTCTTCGTTTATTTATTTATTATTATTATTTTTTTTTTTTAATCTGGGAATATCTTTTATCATTTTAAGAAGGTTTACCCTGTGTAAGAAACGTTAGAGATCGATCGACGGGACACGACGAGACGCGAGAAACGACACGAGAAATATCAATTTTAATCCACAAAGAGAGGAAACTTTGATTTCATCGAAGATTTCACTTTCGCCTAATTTTTCCGCCCTCGTGTCCCCCAGATCGAATCGTCCGCCGTGAAAATTTTTCGTGTGTGATTGTGTTCTCTTCTTTTTCCTATGTTCGCTTCGTGAGGCAGGGAACTTGGTCCTATGTGGGATGAATTCGAATAAGAAAGACGAGAGAAACTTTTCTTTGGAACCAAACTACATGTTTCGTACCATCGTTTCATGGATTTTATTTTCTACAACCATTTTACTCTGCGCCGTATGTTTCTGCAGGGCTAAAGATCCAACACTCCCCTTATTCCTCCCTTCCTCTCTTTCTCTATCTCTTTCTCTCTGATTTCTTTTTCTTTTCTTTCTTTTTTTTTTTTCATTAAAATGGATGATAGAACGATTCCATAACGAAAAACGATGAACGAAACGACGAGTTCTCGTGCTTACGAAAGAGATTGATGCAATTAATATTACTACGATGATTTTTTTTTTTTATTTATTTATTTCTCACGTTCACCGACGATTATTTTTCGTCTGCCTTATTCTCCGCCCGGTTCTCCACCTCCCTGTATTCGTCTCCTTCATTTTTTTTTTTTTGCTACGGGCAGTGCCATATATTTACAATATATCGTATAAACGGAGCCTGGCATGTACGTATTTTCAGAATCAATCTAACAAACGTTTTTTTTTTTTTATTTTTCTTTAACTAGATAACGAGATTTTCATTTTTTTTATTTTCATTTTGCCTTTTACCTAGGGCCGTACACGTCTAACACCGAGACAACTATCTTGATATGAGTTTTTTTCCATTTTCTTCTCCTTTAATCCCATTCTTTTTTTTTTTTTTTACTCGCACACATGTTCGTACATAACGCTTATGCATACCATCGGAAAAAATCGTGAAATATCTCTCGTTCGATTTACCTCTTGCACGCAATTTCAACGGAACACACGCACGCATACTATCCGATTTATACTTTATCTTATTGCCTAGATCATTCTTTTTTTTTTTATTAGGAACAGTCCTCTTCGAAAACATTTACAACGAGACGTTTTTTTTTTTTTCTTTTTTTGGAAAACGAGGCAAAGGAAAGTAATAAAACGAAAAAAATCGAATGGACGTATAGGAAACGAAACTGGTACGCTTGTTTTAATGGAAAGTAGAAAGAAAAAAATAATTGCGCGAGTACAATAACGCAAATACCTCAGTCTTCGGGTTTTTCTAATGAAAATAACGGAGAAAAGAGAAAGGAAAAACGGGTGATCAACCGTCGTTAGGGCGCATCGCGTTGTGGAAGCCACGATTTTCGCAGGATCAACGATCCATGGCCTCGATCCTGCGAAAGCCGCGCGCGATCCGGTCATCCGCGACGACAATAAATATAACCAACGAACAAATGCGCTAATAATTATAGCGTCGGCGTGTTTCATGAACTGGAAATGGCCGTCGAGGATTTTCTCTTCAACAATTTATGCAAAAGCTAATCACATTTTTCGTCTGATAATTCCTTGAATTTATTTTTGTATTAGTATTTTCTTTTTATATACCGTTTACACTTCTGTAGTCGTCGAATCAGGATCAAATTAATTCTTTATCTAAAATAAGATGTCAGTTCTCATTAAATCCAAATCTAAATTGGAATTGTATTTTTGAAAAATTTAATTATTATTCGTCTTAAAAAAAAAAAAAAAGTAATTCATAGATAGCATATCTGTAGATCTTAGAAGATTTATTTAAAAAATTGAGGCATCAGATATCGATTTGATATTTTATACGATAAAGATATAATGAGTCTTTTATTAAATTTTGCATATTCCAAATTCTTTTTTATCAATATTTTATAAGAAATGAAAATAAATATAAATACTTTACGTTACTTAAAATTTAAACAAATTATGCGAATTAATTCGATGACGAAAGACAACACTTTGGAATAAATAAATTTTTGTGATCAGCTGTCGAATACGTTAATAATAATCGGCGCCTAATTTAATCCGTTTAACATAGCGCCATCATGAAAACAATAACAGCATCGAGGGTAAAATCACTCGACGGACATCTCGAGTCGACGATCATAATAATATAGCGCCGATAAACCTAAACAACTTTGGCATCTTCTTAACCACGTAAAACATCTTTTCTCAATAATAATTTAATAATAGCGGGAATAAAATAATGAAGACAGCGCTTACAGTAGCTGTAACCGCGTTAATAATAGTGGCAATGAATAATAATAATAATAATAGCAATAATAATAATAATAATAATAATAATAATAATAATAATAATAATAATAGTAATAATAATAATAATGTAATAATAATAGACAATAATAATGACAATAATAATATTAATAATAGACAATAATAAAAATAGCAATAATAATAGATAATAATAATAATAATAATAATAATAATAGGCAAATGTATTATGATACATTTTACATAGGATCGAGGATAGATCTTAAAATCTATAAAAAAGAAAAGAAAACTCAGCGCACACATTCGCTGTACACAATTAAATCGTATCTCAAATACTCTCGCGTTTCTCCTTAATTAGGAATCCTAATCATCGATAAACGTTGGGGTTTTCCAAGGGTTGGGGGTGAGGTTTTCGAATATCGATGTTTCTCGATTTTATATACACACGGAGGATATCGTTGAAATCGCTTATAAACGATTCTTCTCCTCGAGGAAAAGAATAACTCGAAATTTTCTTTTTCACGTTTCCTTTCCATTTTCTTTTTTCTTTTTTTTTTTTACAAAACAAAAAGAGACGTCAACATGAAATTTCAATGGGCGCGACGTCGTCGGTGCAATGTACAAAAAAGATTTTCCCTTCGTCCCTTCTCGATCACTCCTCGATGCCCTCATCTCCTCGATTTTTGCCCCCCTAAACATCATACATACAGAGTGGTTGCAAATTCTTTCATATCATATAACGTAATGTACATACATATACACGCGCGCAATCTCCATCACACATATATACATATATTACGTTATATAGTATGCGTTAATATATATATATATATTTATATATATATCTATCGTTATATTAAATAAATAATCTTCAAATGCGATAATAAAGTTACTATTTCCATATTATCCTATGTATAATATTTATATTCTGTATAATTCTCCTCTTTCTTTTATCTCTCTCGCAATTTATATTTATATTTATATATATATATATATTTATATATTTATATATTTATACTCTTTATATATATATATATTCATATTTATAGCGTCTTTATTTATAACTATTTATAAGGATATACTTTGAATAGCTGTGCTGAGACTCGCAAAAGTGGTAACCATTCGTTTGCTTTTCAATTTTAAATCGCCTTTTCTCCACGTTCCTCCACGTTCGTTGAATCCTTTTTCTCTGTGGAAAGGATGTTCAGTCGTGGCCTTTCCGTTCGGCCTTCCCGCTTCCTCGTTGTTCCACATATTTTACACAATGATACTCATTATCGTGACCTTTTCCAGGTCGTTGCTGTCTAATGGTTGCTGCCAATTCACCGACCTACCGCCTCTCCTAATCCCGAGAGGCGACATATTTCACCTTCAACAAGATTCTCCGGAGTGGTCGCGTGCACGATCAATCGCGTTTCACGCGAAGATTCTCTGTTTCACTCCCGAGGAAGATGATCCCCCGTTCAGTACACCGGGTAAGGTGGCCTGTGAGGCCACAATGGCGGGATCGGCGGTAGGCTTCCGTTCCAAGATCAAGGGTCCTTGGTACTCAGCGAGGAGTCCTCGTCCTGACTGGCGGGATACGGCATCCCCAGTTTGGGACACTGCTGCACCACGACCACGCATTTCCTCATATGCTTCTCCAACGTGCTGGGCACCGAGAAAGGCATCTCGCAGAAACGACACTTGTACGTGTCCTTACCGTGTCGACCGTGGGTCTTCATGTGCCTGGTCAGCTTCGAGCTCTGCGCGCAAGCGTACGAACACAGCTCGCACTTGTAAGGTTTCTCACCTGTATGAGACCGCCTGTGCACCGTCAGATTCGAGCAATTCTTGAACACCTTGCCGCAGAACTCGCACGTGTCGTTTCTCCCTGTTCGTTCCTTCTTGAGTAGAGGGCTGGGCAAACCTTGGAGCGCCAGATTGGACGTGGTGGCCTTGCTTACTTTGCGAAACTCATTGTTCTCCAGGTAATGGGGGCTGGGTAACCATAGACCGCCGAAGTCCGGCCCCGAGGATCTGGGAAAACCCTGACCGGAGAATATGTTAGGCGTGGTCGAGGAATTGAAATTCGTGGGCGACAACGCGCTGTCCTTCTCCTTGTTGTTGTTGAGAGAGTTGGTGAGATTGGATGGTGGCTCCGTCTTGATGAAAACGCCCCGGTGATTCTCTTGCAGCGCCTGCCTGTAAGCCTCCGAGTACTGCGCTATGTTGCTTAATCCGAACTTTTCCATCAGATCGCCGACCAGGCTGACGGGTTTCTGCTCCACTCTCCCGCCGCTCTCCTCGCCGCTTTGCCCTTGAGTGGTGCTCAAGTCTTCCGGTATGTTCTCCTCCGTGTCCTCCTTCTCCGTCTTGGGCTCGTTTTTCACAGCCTCGTCGAGATCCATGTTCTCGTCACAACTGGAACCGTCGTCCGGAGCGGTCTCGACGCTACCTTGAGGACTGGGCGGGTTCTCTTGGTGCTCCTTCCTCATGTGCTTCCTCAATTCCGCGAAGCTTGGAACCTCCATCTCGCAAACCTCGCACCTGGTCGGCGTCGTCTGTCCATCCTGCGTGTTATCCTGCTGATACTGTCTCTCCTTGTCCCGGTGACTTCTTCGATGCACGATGAGATTCGATTGGAAACGGAACTTCTTGTCGCAGACCTCGCACAAGTAGATGGTCTCCGACGCGGAATCAGCGATGATAGGCGTGAGAGCGACAGGCGGGCTGGTTTTCTCGCTGTCGGTCGAATTGTTGTTATTATGATGGCCGACCGGGCTTTGACTGTAACAGGGTGGCGAGTTTTCTTTTTGATGATTGTTGAGCGGCAGAATTGTCTGGTTGTTGGACGCGGGGCTCGGTGGTTCCACGGATTGATTGTGATTTTGCGTGGGTGGCTGCTGTTGCTGTTGCTGCTGTTGCTGTTGCTGGACGGTGGTGCTAGGTACCGGTACGGGTGGTACAGGGGCGGGTGGGTTGGTATTCGTCGTCGAGTTTCCGCTACTGGGTGGAGCCGCGCCTAAGGACGGATTAGCGAGGCTCCTTAGGCGCGCCGAGTAAAAATCCAGATTGGTCTCTAGTGGGGGTGGGTGAGCTTGGCCGGCGAGGCCACGACCGTGCGACAATTCGGCCAGGTTTGCCAAGTTTCGAGCGTTGTTCAAGGAATCCAACGAACTGCGGACCAACGGGTCTCCAAGGTTCAGACCATCCATACCTCTGAGCGGATCGCCTAGGTTTTGAAGGTTCCGGGTCGCGGTCTGCAGCTCCTGGAGGCCTCTGTACCCTGCCAGTGGATTCAGAGCCAGGAAGTCGGGCCTGAACATGGCGGGAAGCTTCGTTCGAGGTGTTGAGGTAGCCTTAGAAAACTGTGAAGCGGATCGCCGACCAGGGACGCGGAGGATTGCAGTTGTTGTCGTCCGCTGCTACCGCTCGAGTTGGTCCCGCCCGACGAGTTACCCGCGGACGAGCTTCCCGTGGACTTGGTGCTAAGGTTCAGATGGTTTGGCGGGCTTAGGTGGTGGGTGTGCGTCGGTGTAGGCGTCGGCGGACTCGGCGCTGGAGTGTTCGACGACGAGTTCGTCGACGATGAAGGAGAGGTGTAGAGTCTGGCACCGTGCACGCTCTGCGCGTGCTGCAGCAACTCCCAGGCGGAGGATAGCCTCCTGGAGCATTGCGAGCATTGGAGCCATCGAGGTTCTGAAACAGTTTGAATACGCGTCGTGTATCGATTAGCCGTTTAATGATAAGTCGAAGAGTTCATTTTTAATCACTTAAATTTCGGGTAGGAAATTGAAAAAAATTGATGATCGATGATTCGATCGAGAGCTCGGTTTAGGATTGAAAAGAAAATTTTATTTTATACTTTTTATACTTTTGTATGGTATATAAAGGAAAAGACGCGTATTCTTTCATCTTTTAATATTTTTTGAAATATCGTTGAATGAGCTTGATGCTCTTGCGAGTAGTTCTATCATATATATATATATATATATATATATATGTAGTATATCCTGGCTGCTTTGAATTTTCAATGCGCTGTATCTTGTGAACTGTTCTAAAGACAGGAAGTGCAACGTACGTTACCTCAAATATATTAGAACGTAATTATAGCATAATCCTGCTAATTGGACCGCAATTTCAAAGCCTCTATAATTTCAACGTCTATCTTCTATTCAAACCACCAATCTTTGCCAAGATAATAACGTAACTTTTTTCACATAAAAGTTGATAATGATATTTTGACAGAGGAAAAGTTCGTCTTATTATCTTTCGTTTCTCGGATCGATTGAAAATCAATCTCTCTGATCTTCTTATGCATAAAATTTCGTTCGTTCAAAATTCAATAATATTAATAATATTAATAACGAGCACGAAGTAGTATTATTTTAAAACTACGCGTTAAATAACATAGGAAAACATTTTTCATCCAACGACATTGAATTGATCTTCTTCCAGGTAAAGCAAGCCTGCTTAACGTCACGTCGAAAGACGAGAAACAACCCTCGAGGAACAAGCCTAAACAACACCATTCAGAACGATTACTTGCGCGATAAGTTGCGTCAAACGGTCCAGAAGATTACCGTGAACCGCTATGATATATGATAACTCGGGTAAAAATCTCGGGAATTATAGAGGGACAGGATCGCGGAACATGTGTGTCTAACGCGTGTTCGACCCACGTATAGATGTCGGTCGGCTATCAATTTTCGAGGCACCCTTAATTTCGTGGAATCGGGATAGAAATCGGGTCCGCCGATTGAATTCGAAATTCAAACGGCGCGGCTGTGTCAAATTGCGGCCACGCGGGGGTTTAAAAATAATATCCTCGGAAAGAAGCGAGGATTGGGGGGAGGGGGGTTGGAGAGGGTGGCTCGAGGCGAATGGGGGATCGGTTCGAGCCGTGAAGTGAAACTGACCCTTAACGACTTCTCGACCCTACCTCCAGCTCCGTAGACGACCACGAGGAGGAACTGGTTTTGAATTTCAATGTTTTTAATCCGGAATATCAGATTTTCGGCCATTTTTCACGCTCTGGAGACGCTCTTTCTGCGATGCTGGGGATGTTGGTAAGGATTTTATTAATTCGAGGCGACCCTCCTCGTGGCGGAGGATGATAGAGGACGAGAAGCAGAAGAAAGATGGAAAGAAAGAGGAACAGACGTCGCGATGATCCCTCGTTGCTTGACGCGAAGTGAGACGCGAAGGAACATATTTGGTGGCTTGGTGATGGGTCAGGATGTTGGGGGTGATTTTATAGTGAATTTATGCCTCGAGACAAACGTTGAAGAAACGAGAGATGTTTTTTATTTTAAGCGAGGATCGGATCGAGTGTAGAGATTAATTATGGATTTTTCAAAATTGATCAAAAGTTGTTGCATGAAAATATCGAAAATCGAGGCTCTAAAAAGAAAAGAAATTATGATTCGATTTTGCCTGTTTGTGATTTTGATCTGTGTATATACAGCGATATCATCGATCGATACTAACGATCAGTGTTTCTCGATGATTTCTCAATGATTGTATTTTATAATCATCAGAATTATAAATATATAAATTCAATTTTATTTTATCTTCGGCATCGATTCAAAAAATTTTCCACGGACAAACAATTCACGGTTAGTTTAAAAGGAATAATTTTAATCGAATCGGTAAGTTTTCCAACAGAAGAAAAAAATTAAGAAGTTCTAGATCGTTTCCCATATTATACTGTTACTGACTGATTTAGCAATGGAAAGAAAAGTCGGAGAACAAAAGATCTGGGAAAAATAAAAGCTAATTAAATGGCTGTTCGAGATAGGGAGAGATCTTTGTCGTCGAAGGAAGTCTGGAAGTCTGAAGTCTTAAAGCCGAACCTTTTCTAAATAAGATCTCTTACGTTTTACTTAAGTTTCTTAAACGGTCCTCTCCAACGTCGAAATTGAATCGTTTGTTACACCAAACGAACGTCCCTGTCGATCGTTTCCTCTTCTTTTGAATTTTCTTCAAATCTTACAAAAGCAACTTTCCCCACATCTTAAATTCTAAAGTTCGTGCAGGTTCTTCGTTTTATCCACGGTATCAATGATACTTCGATAATTTATTAGTTCTTAAAGCTGATATAATTAAATTTTTTTTCAAATATAAAAATAAATTTGAACGAAAAGATTTATTTATCATGTATTAATTATAAAACGATGGCCTCGATTTATTCGACTTTCTATTGTTTTCGTATAAATAAAATTTTAGCAAATTTTCAACAAAAATATTTATCAGTGTATAAATCTAATATTAATCTAATCTACCTAAATCATAAACTACATCTACAACTATTCTAGAACCGTAACGAACGCATTTGGTATTTCGAAAAGGAGATACGAGCGACAGATATCATAGAAAATTAAGATCAATGAATTACACTTTCGTTTATTGCTGAAAATTATTCAAGAGAAACTGTATATACGCACACGTACATTCGCGCACCGGAGGTGAAACACGCAGAAGCGACTATCACCGATGTTCAATAAATGAATCACGGATGCCGGCGACAATGGGACACGTAAACAATGAATCCTAAATTAAATTAGAAACAACTCGAGGGACGTCAGCGTTCATAAAGCGATAGGATATACCACGCGACAATACACAATGGAACACATATCGCCGCGTGTAACAAGGTGCTAAGTAGAATAACGAGGCTGCCGGGTGGGCGACGGATTTTTCTTCGCCGCCTCGCTGACCTTTCACCACGATTACGCTTGCGTTTACGCGTCGCTGTAAGAAATGCTCGCGGTATGGCGAAGAGGGAAAATGCCGTGATCCCTCGTTGCGGATAACCTCGTTCCAGCGTAGGAACGTTGCGTGTCGAGACGGCTTCGAATATGGACGAGTGTTGTGCTTGTCCTCCGACAAGTTCTTCTCAGGGTGAGTAGAAAATCGGTGGAAAAATTATTTGTCTATGATGGTAATTAACGTCGCGTTTCATTTCATATTTTTCTATTTTTTTTTGTTGTTTTCTTTTCAAATTATCGCGATTAATTATCTATTCAAAAACAAAACGATGTTAATTTCTACAAAGTTCGTAAGTTTCAAGATACAAGATAAACTTTACATAATTTAGGAATTTAAATTTGTTCTTCAAAAATTATGAAATTTCAACGAATTTATATATTAGAGATTTAAAATCCTCCAACTTTCTGAGATCTTGTGAGTTATATCGTATAAGAAACGTGAATCTAGAGGAAAGAAGAAAGGTATTAAAAATTTAATGACTCGAATATTTCTATCGAGATCTTAATAATTACTAATTTCTAATAATACAATACGTTGAATGAACTTCCTGTGTTAAAATTAAGTCCACAATCAATATCAGAAGCATAGCTAACGAATAATCGATAATACAAAACGTGGAAATTCTTGTTCACACGCAGAAAATTTAATTATAATCTATCCACGAAACCTACATTTTCGCCTTTAACAACCTTTCCTCGTTCGGCGAAAATTTTTTCAAAACTAGTAGAATAAAATAGCTTATATACGGCAACAAAAGAAAGGAGCGGCGAAGAAACAGAAAAAAAAAACCGCTTAATTTTCACCGCGTCATCGATTCGACGAATCTTTTCGTGGTGCGAACTCGCGTGACCCCGAGAATTAGAAAGCGAGGAAAGGGACGACGAGTCAAATGAGGGGGTCATCGAGAGTGGCAAACCGTGAAAATTTGGCATATTGTTTCACGGTTTGTCCCTCGGGCGGTCCTTCTTCACCGGAAGTCGAGGAATATTGTCGAGTTCCCTCGCGAGAAGGGGACGCGAAGAGGAAGATAAGCAAGTGCCCGGGCATAATAAAGGTGTATCGATTCACAGGCGAACGCTTTTCATATGCAAACGTAGCGGCCGGCCATCCGTTAGGATTATTCTTTAGATTTTCCACGATCTTCTTCACTTTCTTTCTCTCTCTCACTCTCTCTCTCTCTCTCTCTCACCTCTTCCTCTCTCTTCTACATATATAGAAGAGATGGTTCGCCCTTACAGAAGATGCGAACGATAGAGGAGCGCATCGATCATGATTTATGGAGTTCCACTTGCCGGCACGAATGGCGAGGTGAAAAGGAACGGACGCGATTATGGGAATCATTGTAAACTTGAAATTTATACGGGGAATTGCTTCGGATATGGGAAGATCGTTGTTCGAGAAGAATGAAGATATCATCTGTTTAAGAAAAATATTGATCGTGATATTCGTATCGACAATTTTTTTTTTTTTTTTTGCGTGCAATTGTTGTACGAATTATGTTTTTATTAGTTTTTTATTAAGAATACGTCAGTATTTTTTTATATTAGATTTTATATTTACGTGACGTTTTATTCGCGATTGTTACACGTGAGATTTTATTGAAAGATTTATTTTTATTGATAAATATCTGCGCTATTATATTTTTTTTCAAGTTACATTCGAATTGTTTTGGAACCAATTAAAATGTATAGAACACAAAGGGAAAACTTTGAAAAATCGATAAATCGTATCGCGAAAGAGATACAAGACTGTTAGATAAAATCTATTCGACGTGTTTCGATCGGTCAATCTCTGTCGAACAAGCATAATCTGATCCCTGATTAAAATCGCCCACAATCTATCTATCTACCTGGATACGATGCGACGCGCGTTGTCCCTTTTAAGTGCAACCCTTGTACGTAGGACAAAGTGCATACGCCGCATACGTT